CAAACGGGAAGCCTATAACCAAGTCCTAATATATACGTAATTTAGATTTCGATATAGACTTACGGTGTTCAAACGGATGTGTAGAAATAATGCCAAAAAATGAGCTTTCTTTGAGTGTTTAAAAGACAGAACTTTTTTTTTAATACCCCGTCTCAGTCTCTTCAGAAAAGTAGAAGTAGTCATTCTATAAATCTTGCGACGGCAAGTAAAAATGCCACATCTCGCCACTGATTCACCGGATAGAAGAAATTGACGCTTGTCAGTGAACGCTTTCTGCATCTTTTATAAACCCATAAGAATCTTGATTGAAAATATTTTTATAAATCAATTACGTCGAGGGAAAACTTTCTTTCATTGAATAAAATAAAATGTGCACCATTTCGTTCCCTCTCCTTTGGTTTTAGGTTCTGGTCTTTGTGTTATTGGGTTCTATTGTCTGCGACGGCATGCGTAACTTTTGTTAAGGAGTTGCTACTCGTAATTGTAGGAATCTGTTGTTGAAATGTGTTTTAATTTATCACTATTACCATTCTGTCATGTATACGTAGATGTATGCTTCACATGTTATGCAAGCTCACTGTACTGCAGAAGATTCTACAAAACCATTCCTCTTCATAGAGTAGATTGGTCGTGGGGGGGGGGGCGTGCATGCGCATGCGCGAGTCGTGCGATGAAAGACGCTGCCGGAAGTGGGTGGCGCGGGTCGAGAGCATGCGAGGCGATCGTTGCATGCCAACGGCAGCGAAAGGCAACTTGTTCCTCAAATGTTGCATCGAAGCTCATGCCAAGTGGGACAGAAGGGCCTTTAGTTTACACATGAAACTAATACTGCACAAGCTTCCTTGTTTGTTGTGTACTTAATTTACGTAAGAAGGAACTTCTTGTTATCGTGACACGTGTATATATATTCTTACGCACGTTGGGTATATATGTATATATACTCGCACACTTCTGTGTACTTGGGGATTTGTCTTACTCATGAATTGTTGCTTGAGCCATTAAATGTTCCCATGTGTTGTGATTTATGTGGTCTCTGGGCATGTAGGTGCATTTGCTTGTGTGTGGGAATGTAACTTCGTAGGCAGAATAGTTGAAGGTGTAGTGCAGTGCAGCTGATGGTCCCATCTGAGACGAAGCTGTGACCTTTAAAAGCTCAATTCCACCTTCTCGCCTCTGACGTCAGAAGAACTTTTACGTATTTTTCTTGATCACCAATGATTCAGGATAGTTTTTGCAAATGATGTTTTTCAATTTTTGTCTTGATGGCCACTTTCGTTTCAATTTCCATGTATCCTAAATCTTAATAGTGGCTTGCCTAAAGTTTCCCTCCGAAGTGTTGTTGCTTTCCCGGTGGACATTTTTTAAAACCCAAATAAATTTTAATTTGTGTGTTGAACATTTATTGACTTAGTTTCTACACAGATGTCTGACTAAACGTTACAAACTTCTAGGTAGTAAGTCGAAAATGTTTATTTTTTAACTTTTTGCCTGTAGTGAGATATTTCTTATAATGGAGGTACACAGAAAACATTTGCTCCTGATTGGTAAGCAACCCTTAATTACAAGTGTTCGACAGATACATGAAATGTCCTTTTCTGTATCAGAACGTGACCTGCCGAACACCTGTGCATTATAACTTATCGGGGGCAAGTGTCACATGTGCGACTAATACGAAATTTCCCACCTTCGTTTACAGTACAGTCCTCTTCTACCTTTTTACATGCCCTAAAATTGTTTAACATTTAATTTGAGACATTCTGTATATCATCCAATAACAAATGCTTAAAAGTTATTCGTATGAAGATGTGCATTGCAATTCTGTGGGAGCATTTGGGACGGGGAATGAGTGGCATCACACTGCGTCTAACACGACTACCGCCGCTCTCTCTCTTCTACAGAGACATTCACACCCCCGGCTGCAGCCATGACAATTATAAAGACACATCGTATTCAATATCATTAAAGGAATTATGAAGCCCTCGTAATGTGCATCATGCTAATCAATTAGTTGAAATGATCATTCTTGTAACATAGATTTCAAGTTATCAAAGTTAATTCAATTTTTTTAGTTGCTAAAATGCATAGTCTGATGCCGCACTGGAGTGAAGTCGCCGGGAGAAAAAGAAAAGCACAGTCCTTTTAATTTAAAAAAAAATTCAAGTAAATCTAACAATAGAAACATGTGGAGTCTAAACGAACCACGAAAAAGGTAATATATTGAAATCAGGAAGCTGGTCAAATTTCAAGTAAAATATGAAAAAGGCTAGTGGAAAAATTACATAAAAATTGGCTATTAGTTTCCTAGTAAAAGCTGTAAAGAAATTGAGAAACGGTGATAATTTCAGAAGCGTTATGCCCATGTGACACCGATCAGCCATTATCGAAGTATTCCAACTTCCTGCAAGTGAAGATAAGGAAATATCGGCAGAAATTTGCCAGGAAAATGTTGAAAAGACCCACGAAAAGGCATTGAGGGGGGGGGCATTAAATATATTACTAAACATGAATAAAATACAAGGCGAAGAAGTGCATTCGGAATGAAATAGACATATTGTACATTCGTACGATGAATTTTTTTATAAAAAAAAAGTGATTTAATTTGTTCAAAACGTCGAGGAATTAGTTAATTAGAATATTTTCTACTATAAAAGTGAAGAAAATTGAGCAAAGTAATACAAACCGTGCTGATTTGCAACTGGACTGTGTTCAGATCACATCCACAAACTAAATGTCTCTGGAAAGACACAGAGAAAGGCAAATCAATAGCCTTTGCTTTTATGCACATTGACGTATTCCTTTTCCACGTTGCTAAAACAATGTTCCGTTGTTTATATTGTCAGTCCATGAGTAAGACAGTCAAAGAAAAGCGAGTGTGTGGTAAAGAAACTATGCATAAATAATTAAACGAAAATATAAGTTAGGATAAAGATGACAATTGCTAATTTGCGCGTCTCTTACTGGTTTACAGAAAGTCTGCAACCTGTCCGCATTGCTTTATTACGTGATCGTAGATTTAGCACTACAAATGCAGAATCAGAAATGTGCATGTATGTGGATAAAAATAAATGGAAAAACGCATTACCTCAAGTTTTCCGACGATGGTCATGTTTGCCCAAAGTAATGGATGTGAAATACAAATTGATTGCTCCGGAATTTGAAAGAAAAAACGTAAGGTTTAGAACTTGCGATATATTTAAAAGACGTCACTTCCGTTAGGGAATCGCGCTCAAAAAACATGAGTTTTGGAAGGGAAAAAATATATAAATGTAGATGTGAATTTTAGAACAGCTGAATATTCTTACAACTGTGAAAATTATGTATCCACAAAAATAATCATGTGAGAAGGTAGAGCAACTCTAGCTTTGCATAACTCTTGTGGAATAAAACAAGTCTAAATACAAAGAAATAACTATTGCGAATATTCTCGTATACTTGGGTTTTTATTTCTTGGCGCGTGAGGGCCTGTCTTCACGATGGAATATCTCACGGTATTTTCCGCCTTTTTCGGTCGTGCCGCTTGATGAAGCAAGATCGCCAGCACTGCTCGATACAGTCGCGATCATGCGACATCTAGCGACGCGACAAAGAAAGACGCGAAATGCCGTGAGAAATTTAATCGTGAAGACGGGCCCTCACGTGCTAAGAAATCCAAGTACGATAGTATTGTTCGAAGCAGTCGTGGCAACTTACTAAGTCAGACTCAGAATTAGGACAGTAAAAGTAGATTTCAGTTGAAATTTAGGTACAAAATTTACCTCATGAGAAATGTAAGTTTGAAGAGCATTTCCTGTCCAATGACAAAAACCGAAAAGTAGAGCCCTCCCAGTGGTTTTGTCAAATATGCATATGCCAGAAGCCGTTCTTGTCTCGTGTCTCATCCCGACCTGACGAGTCTCGTTTTCTATTCCACCACGATCCGTACTTCTGTCCCATCCTACCCCGTCCCTTTTTATTACATTGCTTTCTGTACTGTGATATCTCGCCTTTACGCCGCCCCGTTTTTACCCATCCTCTTCTCGCAATTCTTTGCATATATAATGAGCAGAGCTGTACTTGTGCGCACCGCAACTATTTTCTCTGCGAATTTGTGTGCAACCGAAAAGAAATAATGTTTTATCATTTCTAATGAAGAACTTCTGAAGTGTTAACAATATGAAGTGACTTCAAAGAAGGGAGAGAAAAAATGAAAATGTAATTGACACACAACCCCTTTGCAGGAGTGGCTTGCTGAACTTCTGCGCAGTTGCCTTGTCTCTTAACGACCTGGGCTACCGTGCGATTGGCATTCGAATCGACAGTGGAGACCTCGCCTACCTCTCCAACAAGGCTCGAGAGACATTCGCCAAGGTTGCACAAACGTAAGAACTCGTTCACTGTTACATGCTAAGTATTCTAATTTTTTGAGTCCTAATGACCATCTTCGCACAACAGGTACAATATACCATGGTTTGAAAAATTGTCAATTGTGGCTTCTAATGACATTAATGAAGAAACTATACTTAGTTTAAATGAGCAAGATCACAAAATTGACTGCTTTGGCATCGGTACTCATCTTGGTAAGTCTGCACAAATAGCAAGACACACAGTGCATTAAACAATCTGTAATTTCTCAATACTCTTATAATCTTTAAATTGGTTCTTTAGATATTTATCACAATTTAATGTTTTTCTCATTGTTTCTTTTATTTGTGTGTGTGGAACAGTCACTTGTCAGCGACAGCCTGCTTTAGGATGTGTGTATAAAATGGTTGAAATTAATGGGCAGCCCCGAATAAAACTGAGTCAAGATGTAGCGAAAGTTACAATGCCTGGACGGAAGGATGCATATCGCTTGTTTGGAGCTGATGGTAAGCACTGAGCCAAGCAGAAACAAATATATCTTCTCTAAGATATGTTTCAGATCAATATTTAAAAAACCTTGTGAAATGAGTTTGTAAGATATAATGGAATATTCGAGTAGCACATCTATGGGTGTATACACTGTTGTGGGACATAAGTTCATTTCAACAAAACAGAAACTTTTTTCTCTCCCCATTCTACCCATATTACTTGTGATTAAAGAATATGCTACCAATACACAAGTGTAATTTTTTGTCTTCCTCTGGTTGTTAAATACATTATCAGTGATTTGTATACATTAGTGCATTTATGTGTACTTGTGCTTCAAATGATATCTAAAGTTTCTCAAACTCTTTAAGTTTTCTGCTAAAGTGTTCTGAACATTCCGCATTTTTAGAAATGCATAAACGCCTCATTCTTTAAAAAGTCTCCATATTTTCCTTTTATTTTTTTGTCCTGATAGTGTTAAAAACACCAAATAACGTATCATAAATGCCACTTAGAGGCATTTATGTAATGTTATTTAGTTTTTGTTTTTTCAAAAATTAAACAAAAGTAATTTCTTTCAAGTGTCTCTTATGTTGTATGTATCTGTATTTAAACAGGCATCTCATACGTATTATCATATTTTATAGTACAATTGCTTCAAATAATTTTTTTCTGTAGATTTTCAAAAAACCTACTTGTGGGTGAAAATGACATTCAAAATTTGTGAATTAGAAATGCTAAAACGACATTGTCACAGCATATTCATGTAATGCAGGAGGGAATACCTCCCACATCCCACACCTTGAAAACTTGCCTTATCCTCACGTAGAGTACCTCTGGAAACTAAAAGATTCATATCAAAATCGCAAGATCTTGAGACCATCTTTAGAGAAAATCCTAAGAACGGTTTAGTCATTAG